TTGATATGATTATCTTGGGGGAGCCACAAGCAGCCTATAGCCCTGTGAATGGCAGGCGGACCCTCCCTCTAAGTAGCAGGATATTCTTGGCATCAATAGGTGTACCTTGTTTATTATGGTTATTAGCCTTTGAGTGTTACTAGAGTGCCATCAATTAAACTTACTAAAACATAAAAGTGGTCATCAGTCTGAGAAGAGGTATAGAATTCTCCTAAGATTCAGGCTAGCTGGGCAGGTCCTTCAAGGTTGCCTTCATGTTACCCAGTTCCAGGGGGTGTCAGGATCAGTAGAAGGAAGAGCACCCTGGAAATGAACTGTGGCTGGTGGCTCTCCTGCTCTCGGGGTGGGGGCCACCACTTCCGGCTGGCCATTGCATGCTCTGTAGGTGGAGCCTGCCCTTAGGTGTATGAATGTATGGTCGTGAGTGAGCAGAATTCAGTCTGCTAACTGAACTTGCAGTGGAAAATGAGGCTATGTGGTAGAGAATGGTAGGAGGTTCAGGGGACAAGGCAGTGAGTGCAGAGGATGTGAGGCCAGGAGTGAAGGACAGGGTTTGAAAAACTCGGAGGTCAAGTACATTTCAAACAGTGACTCTTCCTAATATACATTTCTTTAGTCCCTCCAAGCCCTTAGTGTGTCATGTAAATAGCTCTGATGGTTGCCATTGCCTTCACAACGAAAAGAGCCTGTGTGTTTGTTTACAAAAATAGTTGTGTCTAGCAAATTATCCTTCTTTCCTAGGGTCAGGCAAAGGATTGGGGTGGCAATTCTGCTTTATGGCTTTTAAATTAGAATGCCTGGGGTTTAAACCTCAAGTCTACCAATAATTCTGGAACTTTGGACAAGTTGCCTAATCTTCTTCTGCCTACATTTCTACACTGACAAAACTGGAGTAATCATTATTTTGCATATATACGCTACTATAAGGATGAGATGAGATGAAGCATGAAAATGATTAGAGTTATTTTTAAGTACTCTTCCTGAGCTGGAGAACAAAAGACTCAAACTCTAATCCATCCAGTGATCCAGATGTGAATCTGGAATGGGGAGATAAGGCCAGGGGTGACTAAGTACCTACGAGTACCCCGAGCACATGGATGTGATCTCCACCTACCTTCCTGTTAGGCCCAGCCTCTCTCAAAAGGGACATCAACAGAGTTTGTTCTCTCCTATTATAAGTCAGAAAGTATTTCCTGTGTCTTAATAAGTGTCTATGTATGAACAAAGAAGTCTATGGAAAAGGAATCTGTATTTTTTATTTCAAAGTGGAAATATATGATCACATTTCAGAGAGAACAGGCATCTCCTGAACAGAGGTGAAATGTTGCCCTATGTCCTTTTCTTCCCCCTCATCTCTTGCATCTGTTTTTCTATGTCCTAGTACAAAGTCATATTTCTGCAGGTATCTGAAAAGAAATTAGGATTTCTTCATGGTTCAGAGTGAAACAAACAAGAATTCTCAATCTTTGTTTAAAATCTACTCAAAATCTTACAAAGGTAAGTTAGGCCTCAGTGTACCAGGAAAGTCAAATTCATTAATTATAAGTAGAAGTTTCCATCATAACTGCATTTTTAAGATCACTATCTTAAAAGAACTATCCCAGTTTAATCATAAGCTTGACAAATGTACAATATAGAAAGAGCCAAGTTTTAATATTATAAGAAATAGTGGAAAATATTGAGGTTAACATAAATTTATTTGACTAATTTTTGCACGTTTGATTTGCTTGAATTAAGAATATGCAGCCATCAGAAATGTTACTCCTTAGTTATGATTCTCCTAAAAACCGGTCTTACTTTTTCGAATCCATAGAATAATTTCCTTATGTGAATTTCCACAACATGTAGAATCATTTATTCAAACAGACAGTAATGTGTAGTTGTTTAGTTTTGTGCTAAGTGCAAGGAGGTTCAAATCTTTCCCCCCATGTTATCTTGTATCACAATCTCTTCTTCATTGTCTTCATATTATTCATGCTTTAACTATGTGGAAGCTTTGCCTTCAGATTCCTCATATTTACTCCTGTCTGCTTCTCGTTTGTACACCCTGTAGTTTCAGTATAGGTCTCTACATCTCTGTCTCTGCTCATTTTCATTCAATACCTACCTACAGACACTCACACCTTCTTTTCCCAGCGAATAACCTTGCCTGTAACAGTCACTGCCTGTCGAGTGTAAAAGGTAGTCAAGTGCTTGTTTTCTCAGCTTCCCACATGGTAAAGTTTACTTATAAAGTTTAACGATGAGGGTGGTTTCCAAGTCTCTCCAAACCCTCCATATTACCTAGCAGGATAATACTTTGTACCCAGAGTGTTTAACAAATGAATTAGAATGATGTACACATAGACCTTATTCTTTTGCCATCTTTATTTTCATAAGCTAAGTCCAACAAGGAAAACAGGATAACATCAAGATTCTAATTATATCACATAGTATCAGTTCTCTGGAACAAGTGAGTCTTGTTAGGCAGAATGATGCCTATTTAAATACCAAAGCACGTAAGGTAACAGATAGTAATCAGCAGAGTGGTAGCGATTGTAGAAGTAGCTTACAAACTTTTGAGTTCCAGCTACGTGTGTAGTTTGTGCTCAGTAGACAGTATACTATTTTGTGCTTATAGATAAGTAGAACTATCATCACTGTTTTGCAGACAATAAAATTGTACCTTAGGAAATAGGTAACTTGATTAAGTTTACACAGCTTGCCAAGTAGAAGTAGGAATGCTAAATTATATCTCCTTCATTCCAACGCTGTCCTTTTAAAGCAATATTCTGAAATACCACCTGTTCATTCAGTCAGCCATGTCTTTCACTTTTTGCATTTCTTTGATGTCAGTTCTAGTTTCTTTCGTCTGAAGGTGTAATGAGGGTCAGTATCATTATCACTTTTATCAGTTATCATTGTAGTTTAAATAATCCTTTTTTAAAAAATCCCTACATTCTTGAAGATCAAGATTTAAGGAAGATCTTTCTTAAAACTCAAGTTCTGTGAATTGCTGTAGTTTTTTGATTCAGTGCCACAAATCTAATGGACAATTCACCATCCCAGTTGTACTCTGTCTTCATTCCAACACAGTCCTTTAAAAATAATATTCTGAAATACTACCTGCTCATTCATACTACAAAAATTGTAGTTTTCTTACTTTAAAAAATTCATCATTCATCTGTCTCTCATTAAACTCATTGAAATAATATCTGTTTCCCCAAATTTTTTATCATGTGGTCTCAACCCTCACCATTAAACTAGTATTTCCAGATCAGGGAGTGTAGCTCAGCTGTAGAGCACTTACCTAACATGTGCAAGGCCCTAAGTTCAAGCCCTAGTAACACAAAAATAAATTAAAATAAACAAAGTGACTATGTTAAACTACTATTTGCAATTTCATCCGAATTCTTTCTGGTATTTGAGCCTTTTTTATTGAAAGCCTTTTTTATTTTGAAATTTCTTTTCCAGTCTTTTCCTACAGAGCATGATAGGTTTTTGATTTCATGAGTTTTTCAGCTATGTATCTCACTATTCTTCCTTAGATTTCTTAATGTTTCATTTCCTGCTATGGTATGGATATACTTCGAGTGTCCCCCAATCCCTGCTGGGAGGTATTAAGGTTAGAAAGATATGGTGTTTATAAGTGGGCCCTTGGAAAGTGATTAGGGTTAGAGAGTCATTAGAGTGGCATCCATAAGATGAGGAAGACAGGCCCACGGACACGTGCTTGCCGTCTGCCTCTTGCCAGGTGATCCTCTGTATTGCTTGGAACTCCACTAGCAAGAAGGCCATCACCAGACAAGACCCCTAAGCCTTATACCCCAGAACCATCAGCCAAAATAAATCTCTTTCCTTTCAGAGTATTTTATTACAGTAAAAAGAAAAATAAAAGAAAAAGGACTAATATATCTTAGTTCCCTATACATTGAAATCTCCATCTTTCACTTTGTCTCTTTTTCCTCTTAGCATGAATATTCTCTTCTGTAACCTTATCCACTTTTATATCATCAAGTGGTAATTTCATTGTCAAGAAGCCAATTTGTTTTAGATGTTGCCCTGCCATATTCTTATTAAACCCTGGCAAATACTCATTAAGTTTAGTGATAATTCCATGCTCATAGCAACGTAACCTTTGTGTTCTAATTACAGGTATTGAATTACTATCAATTTAAAGGTCCACCTATGTTTTATTTCTCTTCTCTTTGAGTAGCCACCTAAATGTACACAATAGCTCAATAATATAGCTGTTCTAATTCTCAAACATTTTTCAACCTAATCCCTTCACGTCTCAAAACCCTGGCTCTATCCATGTGCCTACTGCTCTACCAGGGTTGGCTATCTGGCTCCTTAGCTTTTACGCACTGTGGGTATTTTGGGCCCATTCTCTACCCACCTGCTCATGTTCTCACCTGTTCTCAGTGCCACAGAATCACGCTTTCAAATAACTTCTCCTTTAGGAATTAATTTCCAGCCTCTGCAGAACCTAGAGGCTGCTACATTGTGGCCAGTAACCCTGCCTCAGTGCTCCCAAAAATACCTGCCTTTCTCTTTCCCAATCTTTAATCTTTTTCCTAAATTTACTGTGCCAGGCACTATACCAAGCTCACGGAATCCTGAAGTAACCAAAACATTTGACTTTCAATTGGCTTGTAGGGTAGAAAGACTGTGAAATTGCCCCAGGGGATAGCTGTAGTAACTGAACAATTTGCTTACATACTCATGGGGTGAGACTAAGATCCTCAGAGTAATCCCTGTCATCTCTGTGTCATTGACACATTGTGAAATTATGGGCCAGATATAGATAATACATATTTCTTGAATTAATGAACGAGTGAATGCATGGAGGTGGAATGGCTGGCTTGCTGGAGGCCTATGGATAGACATCTGGACAATCTCTAGCTTCCGGGATTCCTCTTGGCCTTGCCCAGGAAGCTCCTGGAGCCCCAGGGTTGGGAACGTGAGAAGAGTCACCCTCAGGCTCATTGTGAAAGTATAGGGTCTGGATACACAGGCTGTGCCTCACTCCCAGGAAGACGCCAGGCCCAGGATAAAAGGGCTCCTCAGCTCTGGGTTCCCCAGTCCTCAGCCAGCAACGGCTTCTGCTGCTTCCACTGACTAGGTGAGTGCTTGGCCAAGAAGTCTGAGGCAGGAGGCCTGCGGGACTCCTTGGAGAGAGGGAAGAAGAGGGCATAGAAAGAGGAACAAGTCCCCTGGTGTGACAGGTATTCCTCAACCTGCAGTTGACATAGGCCTAGGTTTGTCGCCCTGCAGTCTCGTTAGTGATATTCTCTCTTGACTTGTCTTATCTGGCCAGGGTCTGGAGGCAGACCCCGGAGCTGTAGCTGTCCCAGTTTAGGGAGGGAGAGCAACTAGAAAAACTGCATTGGGAACTCTGTGTGTGTGTGTGTGTGTGGTGGATCCACAGCAGCTGACCTGCAGACATCTGGACCTTCCACATCTTTGTCTAGTCCCCTTAAGTCAATGTTCTCAGAGATGGGTTCTCACCAGACATGTGTAAGAATAAAGGATATGTTAAAGGATAGCTTCTGAGTGTAGGGCTAGCTAGGTTCCTGGGCCTTTGTATGGGGCTGATATTACAGCCTGAGTAGAACAAAGGTCAGCATCTTTGATTGGGGGTGTGGGGGGGATGCTAGAGAGAGAGAGAACATTTTTATTGTGCTCAATTTCATTTCATACCAGTTTCCAAATTCTGGTTACAGTTCTTGTTCATGAAGTAGCTTGTTTTGGAGTAGGGGCTCATGAAATCCAGTGTAAAAGATATATACCTTGACACTTGTTCTCATGGTCTTTAAATTTTCTCCTTAGGTTTCCTGACTTCCTCTTGAAAAATGTCCTGCCAGCAGAACCAGCAGAAGTGCCAGCCCCCTCCCAAGTGTACCCCCAAGTGCCCTCCCAAGTGCCCCACCCCCAAATGTCCCCCCAAATGCCCTCCTAAGTGCCCCCCAGTCTCTTCTTGCTGCAGCCTAGGTTCTGGCAGCAGCTGTGGCTCCAGCTCTGGCGGCTGCTGCAGCTCTGGGGGTGGCGGCTGCTGCCTGAGCCACCACAGGCCCCGCCGATCTCTTCGACACAGACACCGACACCAGAGCTCTGGCTGCTGCAGCAGTGGCGGCGGTGGTGGCTGCTGCAGCAGTGGCGGCGGCGGTGGTTGTTGCAGCAGTGGTGGCGGCAGTGGCTGCTGCAGCAGTGGCGGTGGCGGTGGCTGCGGCAGCAGTGGTGGAAGCAGTGGCCAGCAGTCTGGGGGCTCCAGTGGCTGCTGCTGACCTGAGCCACAAGAACCTGAGAGAAGCAGTCCTGGAGAAGCCAATGTGCAGAAAACCTGTTCCTCCCTGCTCACCCTCCCTTCTTTTTCTGTCCTCCTTGTTCTAGGCTCTGAGAGGCTGAGCTGTTCCTTTGGAAGGTTGTGAATTTACTTCCAAATGGTCAGGCTCCACCTCTTCTTCTGTAATTCCAAACAATAAAGTCTTCCCTGCTGAGCCTCATTAGCCTCTTGTCTCTTTTGCCAGCATCATCCTCACAGGTCAAGGTCAGCAGCCAGGGTTCAGCCTCACCCTTGCTGGGACAAAGTCGGGTTTAGAACTGCGGATCCAGTGGCCAGTCACTGTACTGGATGCTGTTATGGTTTAGAACTAAAATGTCCCCCAAGAGTCTCAGGTATTGAGGGGTGGAGCTTTTGGATAGTGATTGGATCATGGAGGGTCTATCCTTATTAGTGGACTGATCCATCCATGAGCTCACTAGCTGAATTTGCTGTTAGGATGTAGTACCTTTTCCCAGTCTCTTCCGTCTCTTTCTGTGCTGCGTCTTGGTTGCTGTAGGTTGAGCAGCTTTCCTCTGCCGTACATTTCCTCTCCCATGCCATCTCTGCATTGAAGCCAGTCAACCATGGACTGAACTGTATGAAGCTATGAGCCAAAGTAAACCTCTTTTCTTTTGAAGCGTGAGTGTCAGGTATGTTGCACCAGTGATGGGAAGGTGACTAATGCAGGTAGGGATGGCAAACCTTCCACTGCCTTTGCCTTAGAAAGGGCCAGTCCAGTCTGGAAGTTACCAGTTGGAGGCACTGTCTTCTTCTAGGTATATATAAATTTTCTATGATTTTAAGCCTATTACTGTACTCTACTCTTTTTATAATTATGATGATTTATAAACACAAATACTAATCAGTGAAAACTTAGAAACTTTGAGCACTCCAATCTGGGGACAAGCCAAATGTCCTCTAAATGGTAGGTGGATGATTGCTTGTTAGATATTTGCTCAAGGAACTGTCATTCAAAATCCAGAATGAATGGACTGAATCAAAATAAAACAAGGTATACATGAAAAAATAATGTGCAAGAGACTGTGTGAAGCATAACAGCCTATTCACAAATTTTAAAATGGCAAAGTATATCCTTTTTGTGTTGGAGTGTACATGGTTACAAATAAACCATATGGAAAGAAAAAAAGATATTGGATGAAAATTTGTTCTAGAACACTAAGCCCTTCGGCTAGGAGGCATAAAAGCTGGTCATGGGCTTGGCCATGTGGTTGGGGGTAAGTTATTGTGAAGATCCTAGCTTTCATCTTATTGGATTCCCCAAGGATGAAGTGACTTAAACATTAAGGGGAGCAGTAAAAGGTAGTGATGCCAGTGTGTGCTGGTCCTCAAGTTCTGATTTTTCCAATTTTATAGATTCAAGGTCCTATCGTTTTCAAAAAATGTGTCCTATGAATTAAATTATATAATGTTCTCAACCAATTCTCACAACTCTTTAAAGTAAAATATGTTGTTTAGATCCCCCATTAATTTTATAAATGAGGAAATTGGGATTCAGAGATCATATAATTTGCCAAAGATCACACAGCACCAGCAACGTCTGATTCCTGTCAATATCTGCCTTTCACCCCTGCTGTCTCACCCTCTCATCCTCCTGCTCTCTCCCGGGTAATCTCTTCTTCTCTCTGGCATCAGTGACCCTCACTATGCAATCTCAGTGACCTTTGAATCTAAAACAGCCCCCATACCACTTTCAACCTTTTAACTCTGCTTTATCTTGTCTCCTTACCATAAATGAATGGCTTCTTGATTATTTCTTTTTCTTGACTCCATCTCTCTCTGTGCTAATGTAAACTTCATGAGAGAAGGAATCTTGCTATCTTGCCCACTACTGTCTCTCCAGTACCTAGAATAGGCTTATTTTGGATTGCAAAAATCATTTTGACTGAGATGAATCCTGTGTGTTTCTCGAACCTCTGACTGATACACCTGGCAGTTTATTAGATTTCACCAGTAAAGCTTTCATCCTAATCTCAAATTCAGAGTTTACAAAATAAACCCCTATAGCTGGGTGCACGCCTGTAATCCCAGCACTTGGGAGGCTGAGGTAGGAGGATCATTGCAAGTTTGAGACCAGCCTGGGCTACAAAGTGACCTCAAAGCCAGCCTGAACTGCACAGTGAGACTCTGTCTCAAAAAGACAAAAAAGGTAAATAAATAAACCCCAACACCTACCCTTTCATTCAGCAAACCTCCCTTCTAATGATTTCCGGTTTAGTTAATAACAGCATCACCTCCTAATCCACAAACCAAAAAGTCTTAAACTATTCTGTCTCTTGTAGCACTCAGCTCCTCCAATCAACCAAACACCAATTTCTGTTGATGCTGTGCATTGCCTGTCTCCTGAATTTTTCTTCACCGTCTTCATTATTAGTGCAGGGTCCAAGCTATGTTTTTCCCAGATTATTGTCACAGCTGGCTTCAAGTGTCTCCTCACACTGCTCTGAACTGTGCTGTTCACTGCAGGCCTCAGAATCTTTCTGAAATGCACATTTAAACCCATCAAATATAGGGCTTTACATCCTGCCTTGCTTCAGGGGAATGTTTGGGGTTTAATGTACATCTAAGCCACTGTGTTTGTTCTTCAAGAAAGTCTCAGGGAAGCAAGAAGATCTCAACTGGTCAGAAACTGTGTATGTTCTAAGTTTTTGCTCAGAGATGTAGGAGCTCTACAGGACACAGCTCTGAGAGTAGCTGAAGGGCTGACCTCCCCAGGTAGCCTCTGTGTGACTGGCTTCCTTACCGTGATGGCAGAAGAAGGAAGGCAGGAAGTCTGTCTTAGAGAAGCACTGTGCAGCAGTCTGCAATATTCAACAAACACAGCCTCTCTGACTCTTGGTGATGGGGCTCCTCTTCTTTCCATCTGGGTCAGTGCTGTGTAAAGACTTACAAACAACAACAAAAAAAACATAAGCTCAGGTGCATCTTCCAGAAGGAAGGTGTTTTATTTGTGTTGTAAGAGAGATTCAGCACCATATCAAACAATGGCAGGAACTGTGTGACTCTAGCTGTGTCCCTGCATTGTGGGACTACTTCTTAGGTCTGCTTGACTCAGCCTTTTTTCCATGTAGATCTCTGTTTCCAGTGTGTGTGTTGGCTAAGAAGAAGCGGAAACTTCACTCAACCAAATGACACTAAAGCTTAATGACATTAAGTATGTTCTCACAGAAAACAATGACTATTTCCATTTATATAAGTGTATTTTTAAATCACTGAAAATGATTTTTCATAGCTGGGCATGGTGGCCGATGCCTGTAATCTGGGGTACCTGGAAGTGTGAGGTAGGAGGATTGCAAGTTGAAGGCCAGTCTAGGCAACTTATTATGACCCTATATCAAAATAAAGCAGAAAGGGCTATAGCTGGATCTCAGGGCTAGACATATTTGCCTAGTATGTGTAAGGTCTTTGGTTTAAACACCATTACTAAAAAGAAGAAATAAAGAAAATTAAAGAAAGAAAATGATTTTTCATTGGTGATACACTTTAAGTAGAGACTTGCATATTATATCAATAAAATTCTGATTGTATGGCCTTGAAATAAGATATTAACTTCTCTGTGCTTTAATATACTTCTTGTGAAAAGGAAAGTCATACACTATTGTGAAGATTAAAAGAATGAATATGTGTGAATGATTTCAATAGCTGAGTAGTTTTCCTTGACACTACATATATGTCAATTTTCTGTACCAATTCTGCAATTTTCCAACAGCCACTGGATATTCAACAATTCAATTCAATTCTGACAAATTCCCAGAGTCAGCACAGATGCCACAGGTTAAGGATCAGCCCAAGACTGCCTCTCACTTCTGCTGTCAGCTGCAAATAGGGTTTCCAAGAAACCCACACTTCTGCCTGGATTCAAAGCATTATGTGAACCTCACCATCACCTTGGTTCAACAATTCTCTAGAAGGGCTCAAAGAACACAGGAAAGTGATTCACTTATGCTGACAAGTTTAGTATAAAAGCTATGACTCAGTAATACTGAAATAGAAGAGATGCTGTGATAGCTTTCTACCACTGTAACAAAATACCCAAGGTAATCAACTTATAAGGAGGAAAGGTTTATTTTGGCTCACAGTTTTGGAGATTGCAGGCTATGTTCAGTTAACTCATTGCATTTGGGCCTATAGTGAGGCAGTATATCATGGTGGGATTGTGCAGAGAGCAAGCCGTCAACTTATGCCCAGAAGTGAAGAAAGAAGAAATATTTATGCTAGTGCCCCAATATCCATTCAAGAGCAAGTCCCCAATGACCTAACTTCCTTCTATTAGCCCCACTTCCTAAAGGTTCCCCTTCTAATACCATCTTGAGCATAGACCAGGCCTTTAACAAATGGGCATTTAGAGGAACGTTATCTAAAATACAGCAGATCCATAGCACCTTGTACAGAGGGGTGGGCAGCCACAGAGCTTCCTAGTCCACTTCCAGATCACCACCCTCCCAACAAGTGAATATGTTCACCCACCTGGAAGCTCAATGAAATCTGTCTTTTTTTAAATGGAGGTTTCGTTATGAGGGCATGATGATTACATCACTGGCCACTTGCGTGGCTGAACAATTCTACCTCCTCTAACACACTGAACAGCGCCCACTCTGGAATATATCTAGGGGTCCAATCATTGATTATCTTATTATCATAAATTTAGATATGCTACAAAGGGAGCTGCTAGGAATAATGAAAGACACTTTCATCACTGAAGAAATCTCAGTGACTCTGGAGCTCTGTGTCAGAGACAAACACTAAATATATATTTTTTGTGATACCAGCAGCATGATATGTTTCTGTTCTTGTAATACAGACTCCGTGAATACATTCGTTCCACAGAGCCTTTGCCATCACATCACAGTCAAACTATCTTCATCTTTGATAAGAGTGTCATCACCAGGTCATAGCCACTCCCATCAATGACCTTGATTCTTTGAGCAAACTTCCCCTTATTAACTTAGCCATCATTATTTACTTCATTTCTAAACATCTGAAATTCTCACAGTAAGTCCCACATTTTGTAGTTCAGTAAAGTTTTTGTAATTCTCACAAATTACAAGTAGTAGTTTTCTTGTATTTGTCTTTTCTAATCCCTAATAAAGTTGATTTTTATCTCATGATTACACCTCACTTCATTCAACCTAATCATTCATTGATAGAGAGATTAAATTCTGA